TTAGTATATTATTAGTATTATATTACTAATTTTATAATGATGCTTGCTATTTCCTAATTAGCTATAAGTCTTGTTTGTTTGTTGTTGTTTGTTATTGCTATAATTATTACATATTTTGTTTTCTATTTTTTTAGAATAATGCCAATTTCACAAAAATTTTTACTTTTCTTACCAAAAATATTGCTGTTTTTCGTTAATATCTTAATTTATCTTTTTTTGTTTTCTAACTTCTATTATATTATATGTATTTTCTTCTAATACAACTTTTTTGTTAGTTGTCTAAAAGGTATTTACTAACTTGTTTTTCTGTTATTTTTGTATTTTGTTTTTTTTTGTTTTGAAATCGAGAATTAGTGAGAAAATTGCTCTCTTATTAAAAGTTTTTTATTTAAATATTTTAGTTTCTATATTTACCTACCTATTTATATCTACCAAGATGTTTAATCAATACTAGTATAAATATGTTATAATTATTAAGTTTTTAAATTAGTTTACTTATATAAAAAAGAAACTTTTGACTTTATACTAAACCTTTCTAAATCTTTTGTATTCAATTCTTATAACTAATCTAGTAATATTATAATCAAGATCAATACTTATAGTTAGAATGTATCATTAAACTATTATAATCTTATAGAATTCATTCTAATCTCAATACTTATTTTACAACATATTTCTACTACTTTAATATTCAATTTAAGTTTCATCAAGCTTTTAGTCTAGATAACTTAATTGATAATCTATCAGTCATCTGAACAAAGATCATAGTGTAATATAATGCAGATTATTATGTAATTTATTATAAAATGAAATGCAATTTGCACCTTTCAAAAACATTTTTTGGTAATAAGTTAATAGTCCAAGTTGATTAATTGAAAGTTATAAAGCTTACTGAGATGCATCTAATAGTAGTTAAATTATCCAAATTAGTCTAGTAGATGTTAAAATATTATCAAAAAATGCTTGATTAACTATGTAAAATTCTATATAAATTTTATATAAACAATAGTCTGTTTATATAGAATTTATATAGTTGACCAAATATTTTTTAATAATATCTTAGCATTTACTAAACCAATTTGGATAATCTAATTGCTATTAGATGTGCCTTAGTGATCTCTATAATTTTCAATTAATTGACTTAAACTGTTAAAAAAAGTTTTAAATAAGTACAGTTATTGGCAAAAATAATGTCGGATTTTTTTATTAAACAAAATTAAAATCAAATACATGATTTTTTTCATTTTTACAATATATTATATATATATATTTTTTTCTAGCTAATCAATATTTGCAATATCCTTCTTTCCTTCTAATATCACTTTGATTCTTTTTGAAACTGAGTCTACAGACTTCAAAAAATCTGATGTATCTAATTTTAATCATTCTTTTTTTAAGGTGATTTTAAGATCATCTATTTCTTTTAGAAAGTTATTCTGATTCTGAATATTATTTTTTAATACTTTTCAAATATTTTTGATCAGATTAAGGTTGGGAAATCTTGCAGGCCAGTTCAATATAGAGATTTTTTTGTCTTCAAGCCAATCAAATACTTTATGTATTGATGTATTGTCTTATTGAAACATTATTTTTGCATTTACTAACAAATGAGATGCTTTAACCCTTTTATAAAACAATAATAAATAATCCTCCAAAAGTTTAATATATATTTTTTTATTAATTTTTTTTTTAGGTTGTTTATACTTATTAAAAAAAACAAGAAGACCTTTGATTCTATCAACAAAACAACCACACACTATTACTGACTACTTATTACTTTTAAAACTCAGAATTAAACACTTATTTTTGTATCTTTCACCTTAGAGATGCTATATCCTAATTTGGCATAATTGTTTACCAAGCTCAACAGATGTTTTGTTAGAAAAAATTACATGTCACCAATCATAGATGCTTTTTGATATATTTTGTTAATACTATTCAAACTGTTCTTTTATATTATGTTCTTTAAAGAATGGCTTTTTTGCTGCTATACAAGACCAAACATCAAAACTTTGCAGAGCTTGAGAAGCAGTTCTTAAATTGCACTCAAGCTTTAAATCATTGACCAGGTCATGCAAAGGCTTGTGTCTTTTTTTCAAGACTGCTTTCACTAGAGTATTTTTTTTTTAATCATTGAGAGCATGAGGTTTTCTAGATTTTGGCAAATTTGATATATTCTTGATTCTCTAATACTTGGTAAAAAACCTTCAGATTGTGGTAGGGTCATGTCTCATTTTCTGTGTAATTTGCTAGGCACTCATATATTCAATATAAGCCAGGATTTCTTCTTTGTCTTTGTCTGTTATTGAAATGCCAGTCATGCTTATTATACTTAGATTTTTTTTTTGTAAATACTTCATGGAAAGTCAAAGAAAGAGAAAAAAATAAGATTTGTCTTACAAATTGCCATAAGGGAATAAGCAATACGTATTTATTTATGCATCAGTCATAGGATCAAAATTAGGTGTTACTTTTACTGATAACTATACATGTTGTATTTTATTTTATAATAAATTATATAGTGATCTGTGTCATGTTATACTATAATCTTTGTTTAAATAATTGATAGATTATCAATTAAAAAGATAAATACAATCATACTTCTGGTTTACATGTTCTAATATGTAATTTTTTTCTTCAAAACAGATTCTAACAATCTGACTAATTATAACAACTCTTTCCTAAAGACCAACCTGTTTTCATCTGATTTAACAAATTCTAATTTTATTTTATAAATTTAATCTTTATAATAATATTTTCAAAAGTTTAAATTATCTTTCTACTTGGATCTTTCAAGTAAACTTTCATCTTTCTGATTTCTGTAATTTACACATTATAAGAACTTATTAGAATTCACACTATCTGATACCAGCTTGTGTTTCTTTATACAAGATACAACTATTGCATAAATGTTATATGATCTTCCAGTTATGCTAGTATAATACAGATAACAGGTATCTGATTTTAACCAATAACAAAAACAATTAACTATAATACAGTAAAAATTTCAAATTTTCATCAATACTAAGATTTGAACTTTAAACCTGTTATTTAAAAGTTGATAGCTCTAAATCTGTCACTTGAAGGTTAACAACATAACCACTTCACTATGTTACAATGCTCTTTTTTTACAATAAATTGTTAATATTATCAAAATATTTTATTGTTATAATTTTATATTTCATGTCTTAGTATGTACTATTACTTAAATAATTTATTATTACTTAATTTTTTTAATTTAAATCTTTCAAGAATATGCAATACTACTAATTTAAACAAAAATCTTAATTTTTTATAATAAATAATAATGAATATCTAAAATAATAAATATATTTTAATTAATATATCAATATATTATATATATTAATTTATTTTTTAAAAAATTTTAAACCTTTTACACTAAAGATTATATAAACATAATCAAAAAAAAATCCAAAATGTAAACATAATTTGTGAAAGATGTACACCAGAACAAACCAGATTAGGTTATGTTATGACACAGTCAACTCCCGCAATAATCATACGTACCCGCATTTGTTATACTATTGCTATCTCATTAATTTTCTACCTACTAATTATTGATATCAATTTGGTTTGTCTCTGTACCTATTACAATGAAGAACAATATGTAGGTATGTCTCTTCCACTATCGAGCAACCTACGCAGCCTTCACGAGTATCGACTGACTATTATAATTCTTTTTTTTTTTTTAAATACAATTATTAGCAGTCGTCCCGACTGGACACCCTTTCATCGTGACTGTCGTCGCAATTCAAACACTTAACTACCGTCCCGGCAGGCCAGTCACTAAAATATCGTAATGCTTGTGGGCTGGGAGGGTGGAGTCGCAGAAAAAACAAAATTATTTTCCATTATTTTCCCAAGATACAACAATCCAATTACCTCATAATACCCAATTACCTCATAATTACCCAATTACCTTATAATTACTCAATTACCTCATACTTACTAAAGTACTACTCGTATTGATTAGAGATGTGCCTCTCGCGCGAAATGCTGATGTCATTCAATTGGTTCTCACGCGAGATAATATAAATAATTTATTATGACATCAGCATTTCGCGCGAGAGGCACATCTCTAGTATTGATCATACTCTTGCATTACTAATTACTCATACTTTCGTTCGATCAATCGACAATCGATCTAACATATGACCGTAATCGGGCCTATCACATATTCGATCGGATAACACATGATTCGAGACAAATGCGCTTCGATATTATGCATTATAAATTTTTTGATCTAAATTTGTACGTACGTAGTTTATTCACAATCCTGTAATGGGAATATAAATTATACGTATAATGATTATTCTTATTTATATATGTACGTCGTTTATAATTTATATATAGCATACCAATTTGCAATAAAATTATATATCAAAATACAAATATCAATATTTTAAAAAAAAATTTTTGCATAATTATATTAAATCTAAATTTGCATCAAGCAAGTTTAATCAAAAGGGCTTAGAGCTAAACCATCAAAATTCTGATCAAAATTCTACTCGGTTGGCCTGACCGACTAAGATACCGACCCGGAATTTGATGGAATGCACTGTAAAAATCGTAGGCTTAGCTTAACATTAACAATGCCACCAAGTAATTAAAATAATTGCGTGTAAAAGCCCACCCGTACGTATGATAAGGATTTATTTGAAGAATTTTCGGAACTTTAACGTTTAATCCTCAATTCTCGGATTTAAGATATGCATTTAGAATTGCTTCATAATTTAAAATATATAGTAGAATTAATTAAACTTTCGATGTTAATTGTGATAGCTGATGTTGAATTCTAATACGTATAAAATATAAATTTTAACGTGTGAATTCTTTTGTTTTGAAGGTTTAGTAAAAAAAAAAAACAAGTTAGTTTTAGTAGGTATCTATTGGATTATGGATTTAAATGAAGATCAACAACTAATTTTAGTATAAGCTGACACATTATTTTCTTTTAAAGACAAACCTAGAATATAAAGATGGATAATGAATTAACTTCAACAATGGATAAATCACTTATTAACCGTTTAAAAATTCACCTTAAATCACAGAAAACTCATTGGATAATCTTGTTTTTCGTGGCAATGGATTTTTTATGCTTCATGACGATGATAATTATATCTTTTCTTTGGCCTGAATATGAACAAAAACAACATTGGATAATTGAAACATTAACAATTATTGCATTTGCCATAAACGCAGTTTTCTTACTCGAAATAATATTAAACTTTATCGTATTTGGTTTGGCGTATTTCACAAAAGGCCCACATTGGCTTCTCCATATATTTGACGCTATTTTAGTGTTCGCAACATTTATTTTAGAAATATTATTACATGGAAAACAACGAGAAGTTGTAGGATTATTGATAATATTTCGATTTTGGAGATTGATTAAGGTGGTTGGCACCGTTGTCGTCGGAGTAGGCACGTATGATGAACGAAAAGAAGAAAATTTAATTAATAAGAATAAACAATTGGAACAGGAATTGGAAAGGATGGTGGCAGTTGTAAAAGAAATCGCTAAAGAAGATAATTGGAATGATGAAAGAATGGAAAAAGTTTTCCAAGGAAGAGATGTTGAATTGGTAGAATTAATCTAGTTATGTGAGTTAGTCTAGTTACGATGTCTAGTGACACATTATTACTAAATTATCGCATTGCTTTCTAGACATTCTTCACATTTTTAATACGAAAAAAATTTAACCATAAAGGATATATGTTCAATTGATTATAATTTTTAACATAGTTTCGACAAATATTACTTCAATATTGGTTGTTTGGAAATAAGTTTGTTATATCTTTTTTTTTTAAACAATCAATTCTTTCAATTACTGTTCATGTTCAACTTTTTTTTATTACCATCTACTGTGTAATGTACTTATTTTGAAAGCTTGTTTTGTCAAGTTCTGCTGGTTGACAAGAAAAACATTCGGCATAAATTTTATAAATTTTTGTACAGACAAACACACCAAGCATACTTATACTGGCCATGCAAGCAAGCGAAAACTTAATTTTGGATGCGTTGATATTGGAGTATCATTCATAATACAATTGCGATATATATAATTATCGTTATATTACTAATCAAAAACTTATCGATCGACAAATAATCATTCGGTCAATTTTTTTATCAGATGCCTCAAAATTAATGAAAACAGCTGTAATTAAAATAGCTGTAAAATCGAAACTTTAGTGCCGCTCATATCGAATCGGTACTGAAATTTCTCCGGTTACAGCTATTATAAATTCTGGACAACTGAAAAACATTGCCAATGGCCGAATCGAAGCTAGAAACTATCGATTCGGTTATCCACAATTTTTAAGTTTATGGTAATAGTTGTAAGCGGCCAGTGATTCTGTGTGACGAACGTCGAAGACGGGATTCAAAATTTGACCACTAATATGTAAGTATAGATTTCGACTGAGATAATCAACATTCCCCAAGTTATGATGCGTCATTTTAATAAATTCCTATGTCTGATGAGATGCGTCGGGGTGGGAAGGCGGGTTAGCTTGTGGAGAAAATGGGTTAGACTCGTTATCGGTACAGATCAGAGGTCTGAAAACCTTAACATTGATTGATTAATATATAATTTGGGGACCAGATGATTGGATTTGGTGTGCTTAATTTCGCTAACACGCCGTAATGAAAAGAAATTATGTATTCCAAAATCGTTGGATCATAAGATAAACAATTGACATATAGAAATTATCCATTTAACCAATTAGATTACGTGAAATATCATTTTAATTAAACCTATCGCTATGACTTGTTATGGCATATTGGCTAATATAGTTATGACCTTATTACTTACCAATTTATTATATACATATTACGTTATGACTATCTTGACATATAAGTAGCCTCTCATCTCCCGACAGCCATTTCTCTGACAAACCATTTACCCGACATTACGCAAACGACAATTTAACATTGTCATCTTAAAGTATTCTAAAGCATAAAACGCTCTACCCAAACCTTAAATTTTTGATTTTTCATTTTATAAAATTTAAAGAATGAGAAAAAAGAATATAAATACCTACCAAGAAGTTATGACATCAAAGTACAGAAATACAGATAATTAACTATAAATGGACACAATCAATAACAATACGTACTGTACTAACTTATTACATCATACTAAAAGCTTATCCCTTAAACCGTCTTGCAGGCAAATTTGCCATGATTAATCTGTGATTAAGCTATCAAATTATATTGTGTAAGGGATACATTTACATTCACCTGATAAAATGCAAATACCGATATTTTTTCATGTTTTATTTTGTTTCTTTATGCGAGAACAATTGAATTAGTCTTATTGTGTTAATCATTTAATTTTGATGATTAAATTCCTTTTCAATTTGTTTGTATTAACAAATGTCACGGAGTCGTGAGAAAACGCTAACTCGTGATCAACATTTTATTATATTGAATTTTGGACAATCCGCAATGTGACTGAAAAACATGACTATATGCCGGCGCCACTAAAACGCGTTTTAAGAAGTTCCGTTATTTTTATCTGTATATCAAAGTTCGACATATCTGATGAAATGGATATGTCGTTTGCATTAAAATCATAGTGGGAATCCAAGTTAGGTTAAAAGTACGCAGGTATTGACCGAATTATAATTGTTGTTAAAATATCGATATACTTTACGAAGATGTTCCGAATTGGGTTAAAGATTAATATTTTGAAAGAAAATCAATTTTTTAATTAATGATTTACCAATATAAATTAAATAAATAAATGAAGTTTGAAGTCTACATGCTTCGGCTTTTCTCATTCCTTCAAAAAATATTTTACAATTAAAATCATGTTGTCATCAATCAAACGAATCGTTTGTAAAACTTCTCGTCTTCCTGTTCCTAGCGTATCCATTTTTACTTCTTGTCGCGCTCCTTTTCTGGTGACCACAAGAAAGAATTCTTCTGCTGGTCCTTCTACGACACGTCTTAATGCCCAATCCAATTTTTTTGATGTTCTACAAGATTCTATGGAACATGATTCTAGTTTGCCATCCTTTATGGTTGGTTATAAGAATGGATTTTTACCGAGACAGGTATTGATTAAAGGAAATATATTCATTGTTATATTTTTATGTACACATATATTATATTTTATTATATTAATTAGGACCCCTTAGTTCGTCTACCTGACAAATTTTATGCTCTTGAACATCTTTTACAAAAGATGCCAATTCGTCTAAAAAATGGTGAACAAGGTTTGTTAGCAAGAGGCAAGTTAGGTGAAGCTGTTAAAGATTTGCCAATTATATGATGTTAATACTATTACGGATCAAAGACTTTTATCTGGTAAATCAATTTTTGAATAAGAAAACTCAATACAATATTCGATTTCCTAATTATATATTTTCATTTATTATTTTATAGCGTTATTTCGAGATTACACATTCTTGTCTTCCGCCTATTTGCTTGAACCATGCGATATCATGTTCAAAGAGAAAAAAGACTATGGATTAGGTCGCCAACTATTACCAAAAAATATCGCAATACCATTGAATAACGTTTCAAAAAAACTTCATGCTTATCCGTTCATGGAATATGCTCTTTCATACAGGTACATTAAAGAATATAAAGAAAAGATATATAGATGGTTTATTAGTGTTATAGGACACTATCACCATCAAATTTAATCCCTAATACTATCATGCTTAGGAAAGTTAATAAAATAATAACTTCTCACGAATGGCAAAAACAAAGTTATTATTATGTTAACGTTTCTAAATAAGATATAGCTATGATGTCATACGTATAATTCTGATGCACATACCGATACGTATCGATATGCAATTACTTTTTTAGTATCAGTATGGTGTTAGAAATCTTTAACGCTAGTTATTATTTTTCAACTCAAACTCTACTGGTAATACAAGGTTACCAACTGTTATAGCTCCCTTCGAATTAGTAATTATTAAATTCTGTAATCAAGAATAGTATGTATGCAGCATTCCTAATAACTACCGGGGCTATAATTCTATTATTACGCTAATTCGAAAAGAGCAATAAGGCTTCTTGCACCGCACGTATATAAATAAAATGTAATGGCCAATATAGGTGCAGACATATTGTCGTTATAACACACTTGAAAATTTATGTTTAAACCAGTCTTTAATGTCAGACTTAATTGGTCATTCATAAGAATATTTTCTTTACGTATCGAAGTTGTATTTCGTACAATATATTTATTCCCTGAAATGGGTTTGTTCTTTTGATAAAGTTTATACAATTATCAGCGCGTGGATCCATCTTTACCCATCACTTATCCTAATTTGAACCTTGTTCGCGCCTTCGCTGGTACACCTTCCGAGCATGGTTTTATCCTTGTTCACGTATCAATGGTTGCTTATAGTGGAAATTTGGTTCGATGGACAATGGAAACGCTCAATTCAGTAGAACAACAAGTAGGTATTACTTTTTAAATACAGTATAAATGTATAGATACCTATTAACTTTATGATTCTTTAAAAAGGATCGTTTTAAATCCAATAATGCTCTTAAAAATTTAAATGAGACTATGTTTTCAATTAATCAAGAAATGGAAACCATGTGGAAAAGATCAAATCCAGACGATTATTTAAAATTTCGCACTTTTATAATGGGTTCCAAAAATCAACCAATGTTCCCAAATGGTAGGAAAGAAAAAACCTCCTTGAATTTTGAATGTTTAGTGAATAAGTATGTCATATAAATAATGTATTCGTCTCGAATTCTTTGCAGGTGTTATTTATGAAGGTGTAAGCGATGCACCATTATTTTATCGAGGTAGGATACACTGGTTAAAAAATTATATTTTAACTAAATAATAACCAGAAATATATAGTACAAATATTAACTTATTTACTGCATATTTACTAGGTAATATATGTATTTTAACATATTTTTAGTTAATATGCTTAAATACATCTACAGTATTACCTAGTAAATAGTAAATAAGTTAATATTTGTACTATATATTATTGGGTATTATTTAGTTAAAATATAATTTTTTTTACCAGTGATAAATATATATATCTATTATGCAAAATAAATACTAGATTAATAAAATTATATATATATTTATTTATTATTTCATATAAATAGGAGAATCTGGTGCAAATGATTCTATGATTCCATGCATGGATAATTTATTACAACTAACAGCAAAAATGCCTAATAATCCTTTAACCGAAGTTCTAAAAGATTTTCGAAAATATCGTCCTACAAACCATAAAGAGTTTTTAAATTATGTTCAACATCGTGCCGAAGAAGTTAATGTTAGAGAATATGCCATTCAGGTATTTATCTATATAATTGGCTTATTGAAGATTCGATTGTTTGATTGTTTGATTGTTTGATTGTTTTGATGCCAATTTATATACATTTTAGGATGCAAATAGTACAAGTAAATATCGATACGTATTGTAATTTATCCAAATAAAAATTATCATTATATTATTATGAACTAAATTTTTCATTGTTGTAGCACTATATTTGGCAAATATGGACCAAATTCGTGCATTTCGTAATCGACATTGGAATTTCACCAAAGAATATGTTATTAAAAATACTGTACATCCTGTCGCTACAGGGTAACCTCCCAATTCTTTTATTATCAACCAAAAAAAAAAAGTCATTTAATTCAATGTCTAATACGGTTATTATGTTTATAGAGGTTCACCAATCGTAACATGGCTCCCCAATCAACTAAATACTATTCTTGAACAAATGATACAAGTTGGTCAAGCAATCGATTATTCTCAATTAACTTCTGAAAACAGGATTAAACTTGATGAAATTTTGAATAGAGCTATTACACAAGAACGCGTTTTAAAACGTGAGGTTGAATTTTTAAAAGATTTATTTGGGGAGAGTCAAAATAAAGTTTGAATTATTTAGATGAATACTATACGTTAGGTGTTAGATACTCTATAAATTATTAATACGTTACGTTACAGCTATATCTTATCTATTTAACTTTTATATTTAATAAAGACATTAGATTATACTAATTAAATTCTTGAAATTTAAATTAAGGTTTTTTTTAAAAAAAGATTTATCTTCAATTTTTTTCTCATCGATGAACGCCTTCTCTTTTTGAAGAATTGCAACACTTGTAACGCGTTCAAAAGATCTTTTTTTTCCTTTGTATGTTTTTATGTTATGATATTTCATGGCTTCTTCAACCTTTGAAGGATGAATCTTAGCACATCACCTGCCTTGTTATTATAAAACTAGGTTAGCTGTGTGTAGGACATGGAAGGCTCTAGTACCAATGCCTTAAGGATCCGTATGAAACAAGATGGATGTTCTAAGGGTATAAGTAAGCATCTAGGATTTATTGACTGACATATATATTGGAAATGTTTTAGTGACACAGTAAGAATTGCAGTACAGAGAGTTAAAATAGGTGATACTTTTAGTTTGGTTGCAAATATAGTAGTTAGTGTAGAACTCATATAGGCAAATTACTTAAATTAGATACCAAAAATGTATATATGATTAGTTATATTTTTTAATGTAAAGATGTTTCTTTTTGAGGTTTTGGTTATAAGTTTCTATATCTTATAATATTGAATAAAAATCTTAGTCACAAAAAGATTAGTTAAAAAAATTAAAAGTAGATTATGGTTGCATTTTTAAATAATACAATTTGAATAACAAAAACAAATAAAGTTAATTATTAAAGTTATTAAAAAAATTTTCAAATTTAATAATGTTCAAATAAATAGAAATAACTCAAAATTAATTATTATAAACTTAAAAAAATAAAAAAAATAAAAGAATCAAATTTAGTAATAAATAAATATATAAAGATGATGAAAAAAATAACAGAGATATGATAACTTAAAGTAATAAATAAGTTGTCAACTTTCAAGTAATAAGTTTAATGTTTAAGAATAAAGGGTATTATATTAAAATTATATATAAACTTAATAGTAAAATTTTTTATATTTAATTTTATAATACTAGTCAAAGTTTTTTTTGTTATCTTTTACAACTTTCATTATAGCATTAATAATATATACTGGTTTTTCTGTTAATTCTTCTGGCAAACCTGCAAAGTTTGGCCCTTTTAGAATTTTTTTTTACAAAATATTTGTGTTAATCTTTTAGTGAATATTTTGGTTGTACATTTTCATAAAGTTTCTAGCAATGCTATTAGTCTTATATTGCTCAAATTATAATGTTAATTTAGGTCTTTTAGTATTGAATAAATTTGAGACATTTTTTATTTTCTGAATATTGTTTTTGTTTTAATACTGTTATAAGATAGATTTCTATTATTGTATTATTTATTAGTTATAGTTGCTTTAATGCTTTAAACATTTTAATGCCTT